AGTTATTTAGGTTACAAGAAAATGAACTTTCTATGACACTGAATTTAATTTAAAAAATGCAGCTGGGTAAATGTTCCTCCTAATAATTTTAATGGTTATTTTTCTTCAGTACTTTGGCTTACTCAAAGGAGATTTTTTTTCCTTCTGCATAAAAATGAAGCCAATTTGACTTGGGTTAAAACAATACATCTCTCAAAACTATCACTTTAAAACATTTTGCTAATATTACATTAAAAGCCAAAAAAAATACAGACTCAGACTTAGTAGGACTGAAGGCCTGTCTGAACGAAATGTTAAAACTTTGGGGCCGAAATACGGCTGTCGATCACGGCGTCGCAGAGCCAGTTTTGAGACACGATCGGAAAGCAAGTTTGGACTCGTTTCCTCCCGCCGAAACGCGGTCAGTGGAGGACGCCCTGGAGGGAAGACAGTCCCGTGCTCTTCCGCAAACATTCGGTTACCCGCGCGTCCTGCTTCAGGTTGCAGACGCTGTCCCCCGACGCGTCTCAGATGCTTCGTTTGCTGTAAGAGCCTCGATTTTAATTCAGACGTCCCCATGTGGCTCCTGCACTCGGGCCTTCGGCACGCGGGAGACCAGGCAAGGGGGTGGTGGGACTTGACTTGTCCGACCGGAAGACCCCGAAGGTGGGAGGGGACAGGCTTTCGCGGCAGAGGGCCATCCCGTCTCCCGCGTGCCACGCTGTGCCACACCTGTGCTCCTCTCCGAGCTCTGCCCCCAGCACGCTGCCCGTGCCCGTCTCTCCCGAAGCTCCTGGCACGCACAGGCGGGGCTCGTGGGCTCCTGGGTTCTTTATCCCTCTGACAGCAGAGCGGGTCGTGTTTTCTTTTGTGTTTTTAAAGGGAAGTAAAGCTCGGAGAGAGTAAATGCCTTTTCGGGTTTGCCCAGGACTGAGGCCTGACCAGAGGCGAGGACTCCTGACGGTCACGTCGCCTGCCTGCAGGCTGGGACCTGCAGCCGCCGGGAGCTGGAGCTGGAGCTGGCAGGTGCACCAGCCCAGCTGCCAGCATAGGGAGGACGCTGGGGCAGGCCCCTCACAGCACGCTTCTCAAGAGAAAACCGTGCTTAAAAAAGAACAGCACCTCTAAAAAAAGTCTTGTTTTTTTATATAAGTAGATCTCTTAGGAGCCTGCTTCATTACTCTATTATTAATTTATCTTGGGAGATGGGAGTTAAGTTAGTTTCTAGACATACAGGTCCTTATAAAACATGAGGTCTGTTGTAATCTGGTGTACACTGAGTCCTGATGGGTGACCCGAAGCGTGTTTCCTAAGATGGAGGATCTAACACACGTCATCAGGCGTACACGTGACAGATACAGGTAGACACGGGTCTGTGCGCACACACACATGCCGGTCAGAGACGAGACACTCGATGCTGCCCAGTGTGGGTTCTCGTGGCGATCTGGTCCACCCCGCTGGCCGGGCTCGGCAGTGAGGATGACGATGCAGGACGCTCCTGGGATGCCAGGAGCAGCCGGGGCTGTGGGCGCGGGGTCCCAGGCGCCCAGACAGCGTGGGAGGGCTGCGTGCCGCCTGCACGGGGCATTGCCCCTGACCCCTGCACCAGCGACCTCTCCACTGCAACGGATAGGGCCATGTCACAGCTCCGGGACAGAAGCCACCAAATTCGAGCCGTCACCATGGAAACCTTAGCCCGGCCGGCTCTGCCCTGGAACGCATGCGGAGAAGCCGCACGGCTCGGGCAGGGGCCCCTTCCTGATGCCACAGGCTCAGAGCAGAAGGAGGGGCAGGGAGCCACGGGAACCCCAAGGGCTTCGCGGGCAGTGTCGTCCCTTCAGGCCCTGTGTGGACCAGCACCGCCCACGGCGTCAGGTGGGAGGGACAGAGGGCTGCAGTGTTCTTTCCACAGGCTGTGGGGCCGTGCCATGCTCAGCGCCCACGTCCTGCGGCCCCCTAAGGAGCCCTGTGGTCTAGTCAGGCAGAGCTGGGCGCAGCCACACACTCCCCAGGTGAACTGGGGAGGGGAGAGGGCCGCCAGGGACCCTGCCCGTCCTTCCTTCCCAAGGAGGACGCCCTGGGCCGTCGCCCGACATCGAGGCCTTCCCAGAACTCCACGCAGCGCCCGGCGTCCCAGCCCGAGCACCCGCCTCTCCCCTGTCCCCGGCCCCTCAGCTCAGGCCAGCGGCTGCCCCCACACACTCCTTCCCAGGAGGCAAAGACTGCGTTTTCTCGCAAAGCCACCTCCTGGGACCTGACAGCCAGAGGCATTCTTCGGAAAGCAAACAGACACCGTGAAGTGATGGCAAGAGCTAATGTCACTCGCTCACCGTTGGGAGCAGCGTGAAGATTCTGGGTTATCACAATGAAGAACAATGACGAAGCAGCACATTCTCCTGGATTCCCGAGTTCCTTTATATGACCAAGTTCTGTGTCTTCTGCAGGGCCTACCGATTTGAGAGTTTTGTCCTTAAAAACAAGATGGGGAATTTAGATTAGATCAGGAGTCAGCCACCTACGACCAGTGGGCACAGTTGGCTTGGCCCTTGGCCTGGTGTTGTTGATAAAGTTTTATTGGAGCACTCATGTATGGACAATGTGGCTGCCTTCATGCTGCAGCATCAGGGCTGAGCGGTCGGACAGACTGCCTGGCCCGGCACTGCCAAGGACTCAGTGTCTGCCCGTTTCCAGGAAATGCTGGCCAGCCCCGCAGTGATGATTCTACCGTTTTCAGGGCCGTCCCTGACACAGCTTCTTCCTCGAGGCCTGAATCTGGTGTCCTCATTTACCTGGGGACTGTGGCGATGCATGCCTGTCCTGTGACGGCCCGTTTGGGTGAGGCCTGGGCCCGCGTCTAGCCGCATCCGGCCCCAGCCTGTGTAGACCGCAGTGAGGAACAGATCCCGTTTTTGATGCAGATGAACTGCATCGGCTCGGGCTGCCATCCGGCCACACGGCCCAGAAACTTGCCAGCGCCTTTCATGGCTTCCAAGTCTCCCCAGCAAAAGCCAGTCTCGGATTTCGTCCCTAGAGCAGCCGTGCTGAAAAGCTTAGACGCCCTGGCCTGCTTGCGGGCTCCGCAGCAGCCCCGTGGTCCTCTGGCAGGGTGTCCGCGTTCCCTGTGGCTTCCCGTTGTGGTCGCCTCGCATGGAGAATCGGTGTCACACTGCCCTGCGGGGAGCGAGACGGCCTCCGGAGGAAGGGCCGCCTGGGACCCGGTAGTTACAGAAACGCGCGTTTTGAGCAAGGACGTGGAGAGTGTGTCGGGGTAGCCTGTTTCTCCAAATGACCCCCTAATTTCGTTAAATCGTGTGGGCTCCGCTTGGGATGGGAAACCTGGCCATCACACAACAGTGTGCCCGTGGCTTGGATCTAAGTCTGGGAGGGGGACAGTGCCAGGCCAGTGAGCCACCCCCGTCCCTCATTCCCATCCTTAAACGTTCTCTGAGGGGGCTGCTGTCTAACCTGTGCAGGGCCAGACATGTAGGAAGGCGTGCCCTGGGGAGGGGGACACGGAGGCAGGATAGGACCCGGACCACGGAGTGTGGGCCGTGGAGGAAGCCCAGACAGGCTGTCAGGACTGACTTCTGCGAGCCTGGGGGCCAGCAGGGCTGTCCTGGGTGGCCACGGACATGCTGGGGGCAGGCAGCAGTGTCCCCAAAGAACTCGAGGGTTACTTGGACTGAGGTCAGAGGCAGGGGGCGCCTGGCGAGGACAAAGCCAGACAGCCGGCTCGTGATGACTGTCGTCTGGAGTCTCCTTGCCGGTAAAACGGAAGCGTGCACTGAGGTGACCCCTCAGCCCGGCCTGCGAGCCCCTCTGCCTGCCAGGCCTGACTCGCCCCTCTCGTCTTCCCGCCCTAGAGGTGCTCCTAGACCCCTGCCGGACTTGGTGCCCGGCGTCCACCTGCCAGGCTGTGTGCCAGCTGCAGGAGATGGGCCTGCAGACCCCTCAGCTCGTGCGGTGCAAAGCGTGTGACACAGAATTCTGCTCCGCCTGCAAAGCCAGCTGGCACCCCGGCCAAGGCTGCCCGGAGACCGTGCCGATCACCTTCCTTCCCGGGGACACCAGGTACCCTCTGCGCACAGTGGGCGCGGGCTGGGGGCTGGGAGAAGCCAGCGGACGGGGTGGGCTCCCCCTCGGGGAGCCACAGGGGCGGGGGCGGGGCGCCTGCCCCTGCATCAGTCACTTCCTCTCGAGCCTCATCCACACCCGGGTTGGTTTGTTTATTGTTTGTTTTGGGGAGCGGATTGTGTGCCACGCTCTGTGCAGAGGAGGCAGGTGCACCCTGTCTGTCCAGAGGATGAGCCTGCGGAGAGCTGTGGCTGAGAAGGGTTCTCAGTGCTGTGAGGCCCGAAGGCGCCGTCTTGCTGACGGTGGTCAGAACCGGTGCCGGAGCCGGAGCCCGGGTCACCGGGCACTGGGTGTGACACCACGGGAGTCACCGGCAGCCGGTTCCCAGCTGCCCGAGGCCCCAGCGGCCACACCCCCCTAACATGGCGTCCCTGTCGGGGCATGTGGCCGGTCACTGCTGTGCCTCTGCCCTCCTGTGTCCTCTGTGTGGGTCCCCAGGTGGACACTGCGGCACCACTCTGTGCCCCTGGAAACGTAGTAGGAAATCGATGACATTCACCCCTTCGTGTCCTACAAAACCTGCAGTGGTGTGTGGTTTGGTTAGGGTTGGCCACCTCCCTGCTGAGACCGCGGTTCTGACATGCGGACTCCCGCCATCCACCCCGAGGCGTTGGCCTCTCTCCCCACCCTGCTGTCCCCGCCCCGTTCTCCAGCTCAGCCCACGGAGACCCGCTTGGCGACCCCGGGACACAGCCCTCTCTCTCCCGTACCTGCGGCTGGGCTGCCCTTCTCCGCCCTCCTCCTCTTCCTGGAGACTCCGTGTCCCCCTGGAAGCCGCGGCTCACGTCCCCTCCTCTGTTCAGCTTCCCAGTTCTCAGGGGAGGGCTGGTGGCCCACCTTCCGCGTCCCCACGGGAGACCGTCCGTGTTGCTTACGACCCCAGTCCCATCGTGTTTCGGCTCATCGGTGTACACGGCCGGTTCTTCCCGACGCCGCGGCCCGCCTTTGTCTGAACTGCGTCACCCGGGACGGGCACACGGCGGGCACACGGCGGGCACTCGAACGCCAGAGCGAACCAGTGGGCTGCACTTAGGTCTCAGCTCTGGTCATTTCGCAGGAAGGAACCTCTAGTCGGGCCGGACTGCGCATCCTGGGAGAGCTGGATTCCAGGCTGGGGAGGGCGGAGTGGGGGGCACTTCCCCTCGGACGCAGAGAGACCCCCGGGCAGTGAGTGTGTGGGCGTCCACCTGCTAGGAGCAGGGAGACCAGGAGGGAGGAAGAGCCGGAGCCCCCCCCCCGGTGGGGGCGGGGCCTGGACAGAGCTGCTGCTTCCGCATCCAACCTCAGGGCGGAGGGCGGAGGGCGGTGGGCATGGGGAGCCCGACGACCGGGCTCATCCGTGGTGATCCGGGCTCGCCGAGGCCATCGCACAGGGCTGGCTGTCATTTCACAGCAGTTTGTATTGTTAAGTCTTCACGTCATACATTTTACAAAGAACAAAAATGATACAAAAAAAAGGTCCACGCACAACCTTAAAAAATGACGCAAGGGCAATTTAAATCAAAGTTCACAAACCGCAACTTGGGGAAATTTAAATTTCAAACATTTTACGTAAAGCTCTGAAACCCCAGCTTCTGCAGGAAATCCGGATAACCCCACTTGCCGACAGACGGCTGGGCCCGTTGCGGCCAGGCCGTCAGTGGGGGCGTGTGCTGCCTCCCTGTGCCACGACCTCGCCACGGCCTCCCGTCGCCCCGGCCCTGACCAACAGGTGACCTCGCCCAGCCTCCCGTCGCCCCGGCCCTGACCGACAGGTGCCAGTTGCAACTGCGTGTACGATCATCTCTATTCGCGTAGCAGAGTTCCTCTCTTAAAAATTACATCTTCCCTTCACCCACGTTGCCGTCGGCACCGGACGAGCCTTGCTCCTGTGCGTGTGTCTGGCTCTTAAAGATGTCCAGGGCGGGTGGCGATGGCGCCTCAGAGCCGCTGCCTCCCTCCGCAACTGCGAGTTTGCAGCGAGAGCTGTGACTGCTAATGACTGGAAATGCCATTCGGGTGCCAGCAGAGGTCTGCGAACCACGGAGTAAACGCTGTGCCTGCCACAACGCATGAGAACGTGCGTATTCAACGGCTTCTGTTTCAGAAAGTCCCTTGGAAAGACGCTTCCTCCAACATCAGCCCAGTTCATGGCACCGGCTTCCAAATTAGCTGACGCGTCACAGCAGAAAATCGGTTCCATTACTTTGAGGTCACATGTAGCTTTCAAACCAAAGCAACGTTACCTAGGCTGACAGTCAGCCTCGATGCCCGGTGACCTGTGGCGCTTTGCGGAAAACACATTCATTTCAGAAAGAGGCCACGGCTAGTGTTGGTGCAGTCGACCTGTGCCGGGTCCATGTGACCTCATGCGTAGTTCTTAAGTTAGCAGCACGGGGGCGGGGGTGGGGGTGACGTCCTTCCGTGGTCACAGCTGAACGGCCATGTCACCTCTGGCAGCAGCTCAGAACTGTTACTGCCATTCACTGGGCGCCTCCCACACACGTGACGTCACGCCATGGGCTTTTCTCCCCGAATCAACCCTCACGCCCGCACCCATGACGAGACCGAGGCTCAGGTTGCTGCACGGCTGGTTTGTCCTCTGGCAGCAGCTCAGAACTGTTGCTGCCATTCACTGGGCGCCCCCACACGCGTGATGTCACGCCATGGGCTTTTCTCCCCGAATTGACCCTCACGCCCGCACCCATGAGGAGACCGAGGCTCAGGTTGCTGCACGGCTGGTTTGTAGACGAGCCAGCTCCTGACCCCGGCTTAGAGCCTGTCACACCGCCCGGATGTCTGCAAGCCTAGGCAGACTCCTCAAGACAGTTCTTTCAAGACAGGCCAGGTAGATCTGGCTAAGCAAGTAGTGTGTGCTTGTCACACTTATTTTTTTTTTTCTGAAAACAGCAAAGCGAATAAAAATTATTAGCCTTTTGCAACGTATGCAAATACAGAAAGCCAGGACATGAGATTTGTCTGTGATCCCGTCAGCCAGGTGCCTGTGTTGACGAGCCTTCTGTCACATCTTCTTTTGTTTGTCTGTACATAAGTCTGAGTTCAGATGTCCGCCGATGTGGCTCCTTTTCCCCCTCAATCAAACTGGCTGACTCACAGTTTTCGATGATTTGTTTTCTGGAGTTTTCATGTCTTGGGCTTCGTTTTATCTCCTTTAATAACACGTGACCGGGGTCCCCGTAGTCGAGCTCATGGTCCCCGCCTGGGCCATGGGGACAGGGCCCCCGAGTCCCTGCGAGCGGGCGGGTCCTGACGGACTGTCCCCACAGCTCTGTTTTCAGACTGGAGGAGGACGACGCGCCCATCAAGCGCTGCCCCAAGTGCAAGGTCTACATAGAGCGAGACGAAGGCTGCGCGCAGATGATGTGCAAGAGCTGTAAACACGCCTTCTGCTGGTACTGCCTGGAGTCCCTGGACGTGAGTACGGCCACCGCCCCGTGCCTGCGCCCGCGCCCACGCCGGGGCGCCGCGGCCAGACTGCGCTGCGGCTCGGAGCAGCCACAGACCCACGAGGGGAGACTCCTCAGGGCCTCGGCATCTCCGTGTAGATGGGGCCCATAGACATGTATCTAGTCTTCATGTTATATATTACGTATATAATTCGTTAAGTCGAGTTATCTAATTTCTGGCCCGCAGTTTGCCACTCCTTAGAACTCACGGGGAACGGAAATGCCAGTTTTACTATGATTTGCCAAATCTCCTTGAAGGCACTTGAGGGGGAGCCGTGGAAATGGACCTGACAGGTCTGATTTCTGGGTCAGGCATTGTCCCTGCTGCCGCCTCCCCCTGCTTCCGAGACCGAGTTACAAGGTATGGGAGGCCAGCCCTGCCGTCCGCTCCTTTGACCACAAAGCTTCTCGTTGCGCTCTGGTCTCGGGGGGCAGCCCCTCTCTGTCTGACTCAGTTTGCACGCCCAGTTCCTGCCCGTGCGGGAGGCCCAGTTGCGTGCTGGCCGTGTGACCTAACGACAGAGGCCCCCACACTGCACTTTACTATTGAAAGTCATTGTGCTCATGGCCAAGCATTTCTCGTTTTTCTTGGTGAATGAGGAGCCACTGGACAATGACCTGGTGGCCATAGAAAGCAGATTCTGAAGGAATCGGGTGAGTGATGAAGCCCAGTAACAGCGAGTTGAGACAAGGGCATAAACGCAGGGCTGGAAGCCGGCGGCACCTCTGAGAGAGGGGTGCATTCCGCTCAGCCTCCCCTCCCCTCAGGAGCTCCCCCCGGAGGCCCCGTCTCCCGCCCGGGTGTGCGTCAGGGAGGGACGAACGGTTGACAGTGCTTCCTCCGCGTCATGGTCCCTGCTCCCCCTCCTCTGCTCCCGGCCAGGCACCACCCCCTGCATCCTCACTGGTGCCGCCCGAGACACTCCTGCCTCTCTGCTGCCCGGCCCCTCCTCGCATCGCCAGACTACGGGAATTCATTTGCCTGCACACGTCCAAGCCCAGTGGGACACGGACAGGAGTTTGCAGCAAAGAGAGTAAAGGTTTATTTAGGGACTTGGCGCCAAACCCAGAGACCCCAGTGAGCTAGTGCTCAGAGACCTGGCTCCTCGATGGCGTGTAGGTTACAGATTCTATGGGGCAGAATGGTTCAGGGTCGTGCTGGGAGCTGATCAGTCGGAGGTGAGGTGAGGGTGACGTGTCCTTTCTTCGGGTCTTGAGGACAGTGCCGAGGTCTTTTCTGGCGTCTGTCTGTCCAGTTTCCTGGGAAAGTAGCCAGGGGGCCGTTCCGTCTTAGGGCTCAGGAGCTGAGACGTAACTTAGGTCGAGATGTTACCTTTATCCTGCCAGAAGTCCCCACAGTGTGACCAATAGTCGGGTCCGGGCTCCTGTCTGCTGCCGCCTCGGGGGTCGCTGGTCATCCGGGGGAAAGGTGAGGTCTCTTGTGAAGGGGGAATGGCTTCTAGAGCCAGGACTCAAAACTGAGTATAATCCAGGTCGTAAGGACCCTGGGCTTCACCAGCACGTATGCCTTCCGGGCAGAAGGGGCGCACACGCGCGCTTTTACGTGTTTTGGAAAGATGAATCGGTAACGTGATCAAAGTGACTGCCCCATGCCACCGTGCGACTTCTACACGCTTATTTTATGCAACACGTGCCATCGTTCTGAGAGAATTAGAATCACCGTTTCCTTTGTTATCAAGACGTCCGGGACGGTTAATATTCTTTCCCAAAAGCACGGAAGGAGGGAGGGACGGGACCCGCACCCACACTCTGACCTTGCCAACCCTAAAACCCAGCAGCAGCTTTGGGCCAGGTCAGGCAGTGCGAGCCAGGCTTTGACGAAAGCTGCAACCTGAACGCGGGTGGATTGTCGTCAGGAGTTTATTCCTACCTCTGAGCGTCTCCCCGATTTGCATCTTTCTGCCCACACGCCGCTGTCTCGGTTCCCACCGCGGAGCTTAGCGAGAGTTCTCCGAACGATAGTTCTCCGAACGACAGTCGGGGAGATGGTCTCTCCTACAAACAGGCGCCTGTGTTCCCGCCACGTGCTGGCGCTGGTGCCCCAAGGCCCCGTCAGTACACTCAGCGTCACAGTGAGTCGCTTACGCGTTGTAAAAGCATCTTAGGACGCTTCTGTAGGGAGAAGGAAGGTACTATTTAAACGAGCGTCCACTTTGCTCAGGCAGCATGTCCTGATGGCCCCAGCTCAGGTCCAGGTGGGGGCGGGGGGTGGCGGCCCAGTTCGTGACATCCGGGAGCTGGTGGCCTGCACGCTGAGAGGCGCGTCACGCCTGTTAGCACCAGGTCCCCGTGCAGAGGGCTGCAGGGCGATGGCTTAAGTCCACTGGCGGCCCTGGGGGAGCAGGCACTGGGTCTGGGCGGGTCAGAGCGCTGTGACCGCAGAGGCAGAGTTAGTTCACCAGGGAACTGGACATAAATTGTGTGTGGCCTGAGCATGACCGGAACTAGAGCTCGGGGCCATGACTAGGGTGTCTGTGTACCGAGCCGAGGGTTTTGGCCCCCGGCACAGGGCTCCTGCTTTCAAGCACTGGTCACTACGGGTTGGGTCGGGGCCACTTAGGAAGGTTGGGAGCTGGGCCCCGCCCTGAACCTAGGAGCCAGGGTCCCTGGTTGGAGCCCGGGAAGCTGCATGTTCCGTAAGCTGTCCAGGTGACTCCGCCGTGCAGCCGGGCTTGTCCTCCCTGCTGCTGTGCCCGGGCTCACGTTCAGCGGGATCGTGCAACGTGAGTCGATGTGGCCTTCGGAAAACAGGTTCAAAAGCTGGTCAGGAGCCAGTGGTGCGAGCCTTTTCGATGGGCATTATGGGAAAATGAGAAATGCAAATGAGAAATAAACTGATTTCAGTGGGAAATGATGCAGAGTCGCGGGAAGGCGGGGCTCGCGGTGGACAGAAGCCCTCGGCAGTGGCTTCCCAGAAACAGAGGTCCGGCCGGAGCAGCCTTGACCTTCGTCTACACCTGCACCCTCCTTACAGAGGAGGGGTCTGGGTGAGGGAGGCTGGCCGGCAGTGGAGGTTGGAGCATCCCACCTCCTTCAAAGGCTTCTCGCTAGGACCCCAGAAAAGCCAGGATTTCACGACGCATCACTGGGCATTCGGGCCCCGGAGGCGGAGCTGCAAACCCACACGCTCGAGGCCTGTGCTGGCCGAGGGTGAGGGGCGGGCCCTGGCCGCAGCCACCCAGTCGTCCTAGCGGAGTTGGTTTTAAGGGCCAGACAACAGCCGCTGTGTCCAGCGAGCTCTCGTGAGAATGATGCCCTGTCCACTCAGACACGCTGGGCCCTGTGCGTATTCACCGCTTTCTCAAAAGGAGGGTGTCTGTTTGCACCCTCCCCGAAAGAATACACAGCCATCGGCCCCTCCTTTGTGCTGTTTCCTGAGTAAAAAGGGGGGATGGCACTTCCTGTTCAGGGGCTGGGGCAGAGGGTTTTGTCCAGAAAACTCCTTCCCACGAGCTCGCTGGTGCTTGTCGGGGACTGCGTGCCAAGCCCTGGGCCGGGAGCCTCGGCGGAGAGGTTGGCATCAGTGAGCAGAAGCCGACAGCCCAGTGCAGGTCGTCATGGAAGGTGGTGGCCGTCAGGTGGAATGTCATACATAGCACCAGAAGGAGATGGGAACAGGCTGCGTCCCCGAGAGTCGGGAGCCACTGCCCCCTTCTGGACAGTTAGGGAACCAGAGAGGCTGGTTCCGGGCTGGTCCCTAAGTAACAGGAGGTTCTGATGGGCTGTACCTAGAGGAGGCACCGCACGTGGGCCGTCTGGTGCCAGTGGGGGTGGCTGGGAGCAGAGGAAGCCGTCCAGTGGGGAGTAATCCCGCCTGGACCACAGGAGGCCACGGGGCAGTGGGACCAGTGGGTGAAGCACGGCAGGGCCCAGAGCAGCCTCTGAGCAGCAAGACCCCGGCCTGCTCCTTCAGACTGCGCATCGCGGGATTTCCTCTGCTGCAAACCAGGAGTGCCCGCCGGGCCCAGGGCCCGCTTCAGGCCGCCGACGAACTCGGGGGCAGGAGTCACGTGCGTGGGGGGCGCGGGGTTGCCCTGCCTCTGCCTCGGCCCTCGGCTCCGTCACACCCCCATTCACTCGGCTCGTGAAACGGGAACTCGGCCCAGGCAGGACTCGTCACTGAACCGAGCGGGCTCTCTCTCCCCAGGACGATTTTCTCCTGATCCACTACGACAAAGGACCGTGCCGGAACAAGCTGGGCCACTCCAGGGCGTCCGTGATCTGGCATCGGACACAGGTAGGAGGCCACTCACCTGGGACTTGCTTGTACGTGTGTGTGTGCGTGTGTGTGTGCACGCGCACGTGTGCACATGTGCTTTTCAGAAGACGTGCCGGTAGGTTGGGGATTTGCTACCTAGAAAAATAGAGCCAGTCAACGTGGACCCGGTGGCCCCGGCCGGAAGCCGGAGCACACGTGTCACAACGGCACATGGAGCGTCTTCACGTCAGACGCTGTCTTGCTCGCTCCCCGCTCACGGTCTTGAAAACCGTTCACTGCGTGTCGTTAACCCCGCAGAGCTTCCCGCAGAGGCCCGAGGTGAGTGAGTGAGTCACAGAGAAGGGTGACAGGGAAAGAACAGGAAACGCGCCTACCCGGGGGAGTCTCTGCAGCCCGTGCGTCTGCAGAGGGCCTGCGCGTTACCGTGGGCCCATAGTTCCCGTGCGTCCGGTCCCTGCTGGGTGCCAGGCTCGCTTCTGGCAGCTGGGAATACTCCAGCGAGTACGGCGGATGCGTCCTCCTCCGCGGGGACCCACGTTCTGCTTCGGGGCAGAGATGGTAAACCAGCGGCAGGTGCATAATGTGACCTCGGCTGTGGAGGCCGTGTGATGGGGACAGTCCTTTAGATGGTGTGGTTCTGTGGCTGAGTGCTGAGCTGGCCGTGGGGCCATGGGGACCGGGCAGAGAGGACAGTCCAGGCAGAGGGCACGGTCCAGGCGGGGGGACGGGTTGATGGGTAGGACTGGCCTGCAGGTCCTGGGGAGAGGGCAGGAGCGAGGTGGGGACAGGAAGCTGAGAGGGGTTTGCCGGGAAGGGCCTTGGGCCTGGGCAGCTCCTGGGTTGGCGAGGGCCTGGTGGGCTCACAGCGCCACCATGTTCGCGTCCCTCTCACAGCTGCCCACCGAGGCTGGCCCATCACCCCGCCTGGAGACAAAGGAGCCAGGTCCCAGGACAGCGCATGAGAATAGGAAATGCGCCCCTGCCAAGGGCGCTTCCGGAACAGCCCTCGCTGCAGACCCCGGGCCGAGCCGGTGGGCCACACGGGAGCCGGCCAGCGTCCCTGCGCGGGGCCTGGGCAGGGTGGCGGCAGGCTGGGCTCCGGGCCATGAGATCTCCGCTGCCGCCCTCCACTGCGCCCGGTGGGGATGTCGGCAGAGGACCGCGGCCACGTGCCACCAGACCCTTTAAGGGAACAGGGTGTAGACTTGGCCGTGACGACGGTCGCACAGTCCGAACGCACGGGAAACCACTGAATCGTGCACTTTCAGTGGGCGGCTGTCAGGTGTGTGGCTTAGCGCTCGGTGCAGCTGTGGAGAAAGATCAAGACACACAGACGAGACCGGTTCCGGTTCCGGCCCAGGGCCAGTTTGCGGCCCGGGTCTGGAGAGCTGTTTTTTACCTTTGCCTTCTGTCCTGCTTGCCTGCAGCACCCCCACGCGGGCCGGGGCGCCGCCCTCCGGCCCAGATGGGCGTCGCTGAAGCCCCCGCCCGGTGTCGGGTCATGAGCCCCCCGGGGAAAAGTGTCTCCGTCTGCCGCCGCTGGTGGCCTTGCCCAGCACGGACCTCCGCAAACTCAGCCGACGCCCTGGATCCAGTGTCCTGTGGCCCCGGCTTTTCAGACCTGTGACTGGTCGCCCAGACAATTTGCGGATTTCTCAAAGTTCCGGCCCCAGCTTCGCCTGCCTCTAGACGTGAAATTAGGTGGCGTTGTTTGAAGAGATCTTTGAGATTTCTGAGATTTTCAGCACGCCCCCTTGCGATGATTATAGGCTGCTTTCGGTGTTTTCCTAGGAGTAAAAATATTATATGCCTAATACCTGTTACCTAGCGCCCTTTCCAGTGGACTTTTCTAGCGAGATAACCATGGCGTGAGTGGGAGGTTCTGTCTCTGCGAGACACGGGCTTTAGGGTTTCGCGTGTCTCCGTGGTGTCTGTGTGACGGGTCTCTTGCCGCGGAAGTGCTTTGCCAGCCGTGGGAAGCAGCACAGTGGTCGCGAGGCCGTGCGGCTGGGTGTGGACAGATGTCTCATTTACTCGTCACCCAGAGGGGCTGGCTGTGAGCGCTGGGCATGAGTGGCCGGGCCTCCCGCCTGCCCTCTGCACGTCCCCTTGGCGCGATGGCTGCGAAGCGTCCACCTGCCTTTCCCGGTGCCGTGGCTGAGAGGGAAAGGAGCCTTTCTCCCCTCCTCAGTCCGCGTCCCGCGTCCCGCGTCCCGTTTCCCGCGTCCCGCTGCCCACCTAAGGGAAGCTCGCTCTCAGCGAGTGGCATTTAAGAGCACCGGCTGGCTCCCGAAGTCTGTGTCCCCGTCCTCGGCGGAGGTGTGCCCCGGACCGCCCGAGGCGGGGCTGAAGGTGGGGCGAGCGTCGGTCCCAGACACGCTGGTGTCGCCCGGGCAGTGACCTGCTCGCAGTTGGGTGTGTTCGCGGAGCTCGGTACAATACGCAGGAGGCGTCTCTTGTACTTAAACCAGCAGGCCTGGCCCTCTCTGTCACACTCAGACACCGGGGCCCCGTCACGCTCAGATACAGGGACCTGTGTCACCCTCGGCTGGATGGATGTTTGGGTGCTCGCGTGGAGAGGGAGGAGAGAAGGGACACGAAGAGAAAAGGGGGAACGGGGAAGAGGAGTGGGGAGAGGAAAGCGAAGGGAAGGAAGTGTGGGTGGGCGGGTGGATGTTAGGTGGGTGGGTGGATGGACGGATGGGTGGGTGGGTGGATAGGTGGGT